TTTCTTCCTTGGAGCAATCCTCAATGCGGCTGCTATGAATGTCTTTATGCTGCTCATAGGACGCATTCTTCTTGGTTCAGGCATTGGATTTGGCAATCAAGTAAGAACAAAGCTCCTTATCTGAAAAATATTATGGTAGTTCCTGAAGTTGCTAACTCTTTTCTTATGCTAATGGTACAGGCAGTTCCCTTGTATCTGTCAGAGATGGCTCCTGCAAAGATTCGAGGAGCTGTGAACCAGCTGTTCCAATTGACAACCTGCTTGGGGATCCTGGTTGCGAACATGATTAACTACGCAACAGACATGATCCATCCATGGGGTTGGAGATTATCTCTTGGCTTAGCTGCAGTTCCAGCGACACTGATGTTTGTTGGCGGCCTTCTGCTTCCCGAGACCCCTAACAGTCTTGTAGAGCAAGGCAAATTAGAAGAGGCAAAACAAGTTTTGGTAAGAGTCAGAGGAACCACCAATATTGATGCTGAATTAGCTGATCTTGTTGAGGCTAGCAATGCAGCACGGGCTATAAAGCACCCATTCAGGAATCTTCTACAGAGGAAGAATCGTCCCCAGTTAGTATTAGGGGCTCTGGGAATCCCAGCTTTCCAGCAGCTCACCGGCATGAACTCCATTCTCTTCTATGCTCCTGTTATGTTTCAGACCTTGGGTTTTGGCTCAGGGGCATCCCTCTACTCCTCTGCCATAACTAGTGGAACACTTGTTGTTGCTACAATAATTTCAATTGTTCTTGTGGACAAGTTCGGAAGAAGAGCATTCTTTTTGGAAGCCGGTGTTGAGATGTTCGGCTACATGGTAAGTTAGAGACATATTTTGGCACCTGTTTTTTTTTTTTTCGCCTTTTCTCTAACTAATTGGCAGGCACCATTATTATGTATCAGGATGCTAATACTTTGACTGTCTAATCGTATCCAGGTGGCTTTGGCTATTACTCTGGCCTTGAAGTTTGGAGAAGGAAAAGAACTTTCAAAAGGCGTTGCTTACTTTCTTGTGATCATCATCTGCTTATTCGTCTTAGGATATGGACGGTCCTGGGGTCCTCTGGGTTGGCTAGTTCCTAGTGAGCTCTTCCCCTTGGAGACTAGGTCAGCTGGCCAGAGCATGGTGGTCTGTGTCAACCTCCTCTTCACAGCTTTGATAGCACAGTGCTTCTTGGTGTCACTTTGTCATCTCAAATGGGGAATTTTCATTGTATTCGCTGGCTTGATATTCATAATGAGCTGCTTCATTTACTTCCTCTTGCCTGAAACGAAGCAAGTTCCAATAGAGGAAGTCTATCTTCTTTGGCACAATCATTGGTTCTGGAAGAAATACGTGGAAAATGACGGGCAAGGTGGATTTGAAATGGAGAAGCCACAAGTGTAAAACATCCTACGAGAAAACGTTCTTGACATTCTTTGCTTTCAAGATGTTAATGCTGTTTGGATTCTCTCATAAATAATTTTCTGTAATTTTTTAAGAGGTTACGTAGTTAGGAGAAGTGGAATTAATATTATCCATAATTGGATAATGATTTATACATCTTCTCAATTTGTTCATAACCCAATTTTCGTCTATGTTTGCAACTGCAAATTGTATTTGACTTTGTCTTATATTTGCTGCCTCTCTGCATGTGAAACATCAACTGATTAAAACTGATGCACTAACTAGTACATAGCATAGTACTTGCCCTGGCCGAAACAAACTCTGTAGTAGTTAATTTAAAAAGCCCAGTAACCCTCGTTTTTTTTTTTTTGAAACTTGGTATTGCCAAGAGGGTTTTTGCAATTAATCCTAACCTTATCGGACAACATTGCTCTTTAAGCATGTGCTACTAAGAGTGGTCAATTCATACCATAAACGGAGATTATCTGCTAAGGGCATGGCAAAATCCTGGAACCCGACGCAATGAACAAAATTGGGCAGTATGTAAGCAGGGAAAATCTCATGCTATAAAATACAATTAGTACACCTTTGAAAGCGTCAATGTGGATTAAGCTAATAGCTTAGCAAGTTCATCAACTCCCAGGCTTCCTCGTGGTACTATGTCCAGATGACGTTCATCTATATATTTGATTCTTTGAGTTTTAGAGGCTTGCTTCTCGTTTCCTCCCTTGTTGGGAACTGCTGTGAGTTCTTTCACTTCCAAATTTGCAGGTTCTTGCTTTTCATTCTTTTGGACAGCCATCTTTAGAGGCTGACGCCTAAAGATTGGCCCTAGCGGGGCAGACCGGGCAAAGGCAACTGCCCTTTCATATATAATGTCAGCATCCAAAGCAGCATCATCTAATACAACTGCACGTCCACTCTCAACAGCTTGCTTCATAAAGAGCAAAACCCTATCAGTACAAGGTGCATTCTTTCTTGCTGGCACATTAATATCTTGTGAAGCCTCAGAAACATCTTCTGGCTTGTCAAGATTCAGCGAATCCATAACAGAAGACTCCGACTGGCTTAGAGTATCCTCAGAACTTCTGGGCATGACATTACTTTCCAAAGGCAGAGCTGCTGGCTCTTCATTTTCTATACCTGAATTATCCAATATTGGCTCAGGACTGTAGGTCTTGCTCATTGTTTCAGATTCGCTACCGGCACATTTGATATCCCCAAAGACAGTTGCACCTCCAGAGGTAGTCCTTTTGCTTTCTGACTCATCATTGAGATAATCTATCCTATCTAATGTTGATTCAATAGTCTCCATTTTAGCTGGCTTTGCATCAAGAACTGCATTTGGTTTGTCATTTTCAACAGAGGACCCCCTTAGCTCAAAGCTAATTTCTTGAGAAATCACGAGTGGCTGATCTGTACTAGCCACTTGAACACACACAGGTGATAATTCTTGACCTTCCAACAGTCCAGGAATGGAAGTTGCACTGTCCGCATGCCTTTCCTCTACACCTGAGTTAAATGCTGGTTTCAGGAAGGAAGACTTCCAGTTTCGTCCTCTCCACATTAGGATAGATTCATTTTCAAAAGAGATTAGCACGCATGGGACCAGCTCCTGCAAATGAAGAATTAAGGAAATTGAATTTAACATTCTCTTAATATAAAAAATTTCACTTATGTGTGAAAGAGAAAATAAAAGATACAAACTATATATGTATACTGAACCTTAAGTTTAGCACCAATTTTCCGGTAGTCGCTTCCCTTAATCCCTTCACAATCAACCCGGACAAGTTCACACTCTTCAAATGCCTCCCTGACATTTTTTACAAGGTCAGAGTACACACCATTCTTTGCTGCAAAAAATTGATAACATTAATTTTAGATTTCCAGAATGGGCAGAACTAAAGCATTCTTTTTCATAAATTCACTTTCCACTATCACTAGCAGCTTACCAAGTTTGCATATTGGCATTAATTTCCTTCCCTTCTTTCTCATCTCACTCACTTCTTCTAGTGTTAGACCCTCAGGGGCCTTCTGAATCAACCGTGGATACATAGGGGTAACAGGTTTCCACAGCATAAGAGGGAAGCGAGGACGAGTTTTATAATTATAATTTCTACCTCGGAAAAGGAATAGAACCCCTCCTCGTCTGTAAATAACCTTCCCTCCTGTTCTTTCCTGCCAAATCATCCATAAAGTGAAAACAATGCACCAATCAAACAATTCTACCAAGCATGATCCCGGTATCCTCTCATAAATCGAACAATTCCACAACATTAAACAAAACAATCTTAAAAAGATTAACAACAGAAGTACCAACCTCTAACTGCTCACACACATTGTCCATATCGACCGTACAAACTCCCTTGCATTTTATCTTGCAAACTCTCCGCCGTTTCCAATGAGCATGTATATTATCTAGCATGTTGTGTGTCAAACCATCTCTACCTAAACATAAGAGCAAAAATCAAAAGAAAAAAAAAAGGCCAATGAAGTATGATTCAGATTAATGAATAAAGTTTACAATTGATTACTATTATTCTGTAGAATAAATAAGAATCCCATCAGATCATTATTCATTACCCATATTCAACTGTCGTTTTGACTTCAAGCAACCGTTAACCAACTCCTTGACCTCCTCAGCGTTCAACAGCTCTCCCAAAATCTCCTCCCTGGACTGGACATACCTTGGGCCTGTCCCAGGCAAATATGGCCCGGGCTTCTGTATGGGCTTGACCCCTTTCTTATTAGGCGGAGGCAATACGAAAGAATCGAACTCCTTCATCTTTTTCTTACTGGGCGGCAACGGAGCCCGGCCCGTCCACGGTCTAGGCATCGTCGTAGGCCCAAACGGCGAGTACGGCGGTTCCCTTAGCTTTATCGGCTTCACTTTCGGCGTCTCCGTGTAACTGTACTTGAACTCGAATGGCGCGCCGTCGATGACGAAAGAGACGCCATCATCGCCGATGGAGACATTTGTGGGTTTCTTATCCAGTGGTGTTGGTGGCGGAGGGTTTGCGGTTTTGGAGAATTTGCGAAACGCCGGGTGGTTTGGGGGTTTGGAGTACTTAGATTTCTTGCCTGGAATTGAAGGATTGGAGGGAGAGGACGGTGAGCCTAAGGATTTGTAGGTTTCTGTTGGTCGCGGACTGGCGGAGGAGGGGTCGATGGCGGTCGCAATTTTGGTGGCGGAATCGAAGCGGCGGTATCGGCGGATATCGTCTTCGATTTCTTGTTGGGCGCGTTGGCGTTGGTTGAATTTCTCGGCGTTGGCGTTGTTCCAGCGGGAGAATCGAATCTCCGTCGGCGGACGATGGGCGGGTTCGTTCGAGTTAGGATAAGGGTTTGGTAGTGGTGGCGCGAAAATTGGGAATGAGATGGGCAATTTTAGCGCCATCACTTTTAACTTTCAGTGAAGAAAGAAGAAGGAGCTAAGCACAGCGTAATAGTCTTGTCGTACCATGAAAGAAGACAACCTCAACGATGTCGTATTGCCAAATTATCCTCCCTTTTTCTACTTTTGGCCCTTTGGTTGAAAAACTGAATATCTTATTGGTGTGGGGAAATGGCCGGTTTTTAAATGGCTTGATTGTAATATTTGGAGATAATGAGGGTAAATAGTTAGTGTTGATCCAAGAATAGTGAACTGCATTGTAAGAAGTTCCGACTTCCCAGTAGGAAGCTCTAGTCAAGCCTGGCTGACAATGGAAGAAGATTGAGTGCTTGGCCACTTCACGATGGAGAATTTGTTAAGGTACTTTCCCTGTCACACAAAAGTCGAATCTTTTAGAAGCACTTTCTTTTTCATCTGATTTCATTGAACAGTCGGAAATAGTGGTACATTTTCTGGGTCAGTATTCTTCTGATCTTACAATTTTTGCAATTTTACCCAGATGAATAGATGATAGATCATCATCAAGAATGAGCTGTCTTTTCTCGTCCAAAAAAAGAAAAGAAAAGAAAACTTTTTGCTGTTTAATCTTTGCTTGGCTCATTCTTTATTGTTTCTTGGTTGCTTGCCTTTTCTTCTTTGTTTCTTGCTTTTACAATCTACTGGTTTGTGGCGTAATGCAGTAAATTCCATTGGCCACGCAGGCAAGATTGCACCTTTTTGCTAATCTACATTAATAATTGCAATGGTTCATAGAGTTGCAAATGTTGAACTGCGGCTTCTTGCCTATGGATAGAAGTACTTAACTGAAGCTCTGTTTTTATTTGCTAGGTTGAATGCTTGATTTATATTGTGATCGTTCAGCATGTGGCTATGTGATATAGGGTTTCAAGATTCTAATTTTTGTATCTAAGGTAATTCAGGGAAGTTCGCTATTGACTGCCATGGAAATCTTTGCTCTAACTCAGAGGCTCTTTCACGCTGAGATCAGAAAACTGCTATTGATCATTGGGTTGGCAGTTTCTATCATAATTGTTTTTCAGTGTTTTGGACTTCCCTATGGGAAAAGATTTTCGTCATCACCTGCTAATAAGGGTTCAATAGGTAGGCTGGTTAGCAACGCCACCATTTTAAATAATTTGAACTTGGGTAAACTCTATGTTGATAATGTGGTGGCAAACAATGCTAATGGCTCTGGTTCCAAGGAAGAAGTGAGGTACAGGAATAAAACACCAGAAGCAAATGCCGATTCTGATGTGGCATCCAATGTTGACAGATACCTTGATGATTCTTTTCATAAATTCAAGGATCAAAATTCCGATGATATGACATCAAAGCAGAGGATAACCCAGGGTAAGAATTTGATGAATGGATATGTTACTCGTACAGATGATAGTTCTACTCAAGTGAATGCTGCAGAAATTCTGCATAATCACCTAGGGATGGTGGAAAAGACAAAAAACAGCGAGAAGATTACCAACGATCCAAAAGCCACCACTGGCTATGGTGTTGTGCCATTTGTATCAGCTGTAGTTGCTACTAAAGGCCTACAAAACTTGGATCCTAATTCATCAACTTCTGGCTCATTCTTTGGTGCCAACTTATCTTCAGTGAGCAATGGCAAAAAATCTATGGAAACCCGACAGAGGAAATCTAAGCAGCCCATATCAGTATCCCAGATGAATGTTTTATTGCTTCAGAGTATTGATTCTTCTCATTCTTCGGTAAGAATCTCACCCCCAAGGTCTCAATTAAGCAACAGGACTCAGTTAAGATTATGGATTTTTCACTTATATTTTTGTTGGTAATAGAGACCAAGAAAGTCTTCAGCACGTGATCGTGAACTTCTATCAGCAAAACAAGATATTGAGAATGCTCTTATTTCAAGAAAGACTCCAGCACTTTATGCATCTGTTTACCGGAATAGTTCCAAGTTTAAAAAGTGAGTGTTTGACTTATCCCTCACAACATGTTCATGTTTAAGCTAAGTACTTATGTGTTATGGCTTTATGCAAATCATTTGCAGGAGTTATGAGATAATGGAACAAACACTCAAAGTTTACATATATAAAGAAGGTTTAAAGCCCATATTTCATCAGCCAATGCTGAGGGGAATTTATGCCTCAGAAGGATGGTTTATGAAACTCATAGAAGGAAACAAAAAGTTTGTTGTGAGAGATCCCAGAAGAGCTCACTTGTTTTACCTACCCTTTAGTTCAAATATGCTTAGGAGAGCACTATATGGACAAGACTTTCAACATTTCCAGGACCTACAGAAATATCTTGGGGATTATGTTGAGTTGATTGCAGGAAAATATAGCTTCTGGAACAGGACTGGAGGTGAAGATCATTTTTTTGTTGCTTGTCATGATTGGGTATGCCATCTCTGCATCATCTGCTTATAAATCTCATAGTGCTATAATCATTGAAGTAGGAACCTGATATACACCATTGCTTTTGGAGTTTTGGGATTCTTTTTGTGTGTGTGCATGTGGTGTGTATGGCAATCAGAAGTAGTTGAGGGCTATGCTTGTATGTTGTTTAAAACCCATTTAGACGAAGATTAGACAAAGGCCTCATTTTGGGGACCATAAGCCGCAAGAATTGTCTCAATATTAATTTGCAAGCCATAAGGTGTCCTATCCAATTCATGAAATACAACATACTTATTTGCTAGTCTATTTTTATAAATATTAGTGATGATACTCGGTTACTAGTTCAGGACTGTCTAATTCCAAAATGATAAAGCTGTAACTATCTTTTAAATTCCCTTTCCTTGTTCCAGCAAAGTGAAGTACTCGAATTAATCCAAACCTTTAAGATTCTGTTGTTAGTGTTATTATTATTATTTTTATTTCTTTGGCCTAATTCAAATTAGTAGTTTAACAATTGATGTGAAATATGGGACTTCAGGCGCTCAAATTGACAAAGCACATGAGAAGTTGTCTTAGAGTTCTTTGCAATGCCAATGCTGCTAAAGACTTCAAAATAGGAAAGGATACCACTCTCCCAGTTACATACATACGTTCTGCAGAGGCTCCGTTGGAAAATCTTGGAGGAAAGCCTCCTTCAGAGAGAAGCATTCTGGCCTTCTTTGCAGGGGGGATGCATGGTTATCTCCGACCAATCCTACTGCAGTACTGGCAGAATAAAGAACATGACATGAAAATCTTTGGACCAATGCCTCGTGATATTGAAGGTAAAAGAACTTACAGAGAGCAAATGCAAAGTAGCAAGTATTGCATATGTGCCAGGGGTTATGAAGTTCATACACCAAGAGTGGTTGAGGCCATTTACTATGAATGTGTGCCAGTTATCATATCAGATAACTATGTGCCACCCTTCTTTGAGGTGTTGAACTGGGAGGCCTTTGCTGTTTTTGTTCAAGAGAAAGATATCCCTAATTTGAGAAATATTTTGCTCTCTATCCCTGAGGAGAAGTACTTGGAGATGCACTCTAGAGTGAAGCTGGTGCAGCAGCATTTCCTTTGGCACAAAAAGCCTGTTAAGTATGACTTGTTCCATATGATCCTTCACTCGGTCTGGTACAATAGAGTTCTTCACATAAAAACTAGATGAAGGATTTTATTCTTGAAGTTCTTGGAACTGGGAAAGAAAGGAAGAAAGGGGGCATAAGCCACGGGTGGATTGCTGATGATTTATGCACTCATTTAGGGAGACTGAGAAGTCCAAGTTTGCTGATACAAATTATTCATCAGTGTATATGAAATGAAACTGACTGATATTGTTAAAGGTTCAGTGAACAATTCGAGAACAAGTTGTCATCTGGCCTATGCAGCTGTCACTGATGGTGCAATAAGGCAATAGCTCTATGGTCATATGTTAAGCTTGTTTCCGTGCGCCCCCTGACTGAAGCCAAAGCACTCAAAGCAGTAGTTGCTACCATTCACCGGTTGTGAGCTTATGCCCTTTGAACGATCTAGCTTGGTCTTCAAGTTTCTCGGCTGTACATATGATAGATCCTATTGTAATGAATTCTTAACCTAATTGATCATTCTTTTACGTGGGTTTATGGTAACAATTTAATGTGAACGTATGACTCGAGCAAGGGAATTTAAATGCCTTCATTGCCTTTTTTTCATAGATTTTAGATGAGTTTTATGTTAATGAAGTTAGCATATTTCTTTTGCTAACGCGGCCTAAACCTGGTGCAGTTCAGGTAAAATGTCCTTTTCTTATCCTGCAAGATTGATGGGTGTACTAAGGTGGAAAGAGAATTTAGTGATTCAACTATACCTTTTGTAACATGAAAATTAGTTTGCCATTAATTTAAGCAATAAAAGAAGGCTGCTTATTAATATAAGTAGGAATGAATTAGTGCTGGAGGGTGTTTATCCACTAAGTGAAAGAGTTAAGTAGCAAAGTTAATAATAGAACGAAATAATAAATAAATTCATTAAAAAGAAAAAGAAAAGACTTAAAAATGATTAAAAGAAAAAGAATGAAGCTACAAAGACTACTGTCAAAAGCAAGAAAGGAAACGAAAGAAATTAAAAGGGATTAGAAGCAAGTCCAATCCTTTGAAAGACAAGCAATATTTTTTAAGTGAAAAGATAGTGTTTAAGCTTTCCTGTCATCATCACACCGGGTAAAAGAATTATATTGCCTCTCTGCTTACACCCCATTTACTCAGCTTTGAACGACCGTACTCAAAATTCAGAGCCAGAACTACGTCGTTTCTTCCTCGGCTTAAGCCGGTTGCCTCTAAACTGCAAACTTGACCTTCACGGGCCACTTGTTGAAGCTTAGAATCAATAAAAAGTAAAAACTAAAAAAAGTCACTGGATTAATGACAGACTGACCCTTTAAATTAACTAAAGAAACCAAAAATACAAAAAAAATAAATTACCGTCTTAACAGTAATAATGCAATTAAGAATGAATTCTTTCCTTCTCTATTTTAAACAAAGGAATCCACCGTTTATGAATTGATTAAAAAAAAAAAAAACCCACCATTTGTATTGCTTTCTTTAAAGAAATATTGGTCATAATTAATTTTCCATGGCCACAGCCAAAAAATAAAAATAGTAATACCATGCACACTTTACCAATTTCGCGACTCCTTGAATTTGCTTTGTTTTCATTTTCATTTGTTTTCACTCTTCCAACAGTCAAACCTCAAGCAATTTTTTCCACCGGCAAGACTCCGAGGTTTGCGTTTTCCATTTAATCCTAAATTTAGTGTGGTAGTTAACTAATCAATGCTTGTTTTTCAACTGTATACTAAGATGTTGAATCAAAAATCGAGGTTGTTTTGTAAAGATGTCAGTTTTAGCAGTTCTGGGTGTTAGTTTGTGAGAGGCCTGTTTTGGGTATGGAGTTAGTTAATGGATTTCGAAAGCTGTTTCATAGTGAAAAGAAAAGATGGGTTCTTTTAGTTGGAGTAGTTGCTATTACTCATTTATTGTTTCAGTCCTTTCTGCTTCCATATGGGAATGCTCTTAGGTCTTTGTTGCCTGGTGATGAGGGTTCAATAGGGAATGATAAAGATGTGATTTTTGGAATACAATCTTCAGTGAATTCTGCAATGGTTCGTAATCCTCTTACCATCAATGCTTCTGATATGAGTACTAGAAATGTAGTCATTAATGGGGTGCTGAAAGATGGTAATAGTTCTATTGTTGGTGGAAGCGTTGGAAATGGTGGTCGATTAATGGGGGATCGCAGGGAAATGGAGAATGGTTTTGCGTCTGAGGGAATGGAGTCCGATGGTAGAATTAAAATTGCTATAGATAGAAATATCGATGATGATTATGCATCTGAGAATGCTGAAGATCTAAATGAGATTTCTGTGTTGGATGATATCATTCGAGATCAAGATAACTCTCCTCTGGAGGAGGTTGTAGAACCTGGACAGTTGGTTTCAGCTGACAAACTTCTGGAGAATGATGCAAGTCAGACACCAAAAGAATTTGGACATGTAAGTATTAGTTCACAAACTCCTACCTTGGCATCACCTGTAGTATCTTCATTGGCAATGGAGTCCACCAACGAAGCTGGACATGGCTTTACTCTAGAGACGGCTGTGAAACACACCCAGGAAGTCTCAACAGGCAAACTGTTGGAGACTAAGACAAGTCAGTCGCCTAAAGAACTTGGGCATGTAAATATTGCTTCACTATCTCCTACCTTGGTGTCACCTGTAGCATCTTCATTGGTTAACAAGACCTATTTGAGAAACTCCACTAAAAATGCTGATTCCCTTGTTTTTTTAACATCCCTGCAAAGTGATCATCTGACATCAAAAAATAATTCTGTAATGATTGCTAAGGCAGGGAGAAAAACAATGAGATGTGAAATGCCACCAAAATCAGTGACCACAATAGAGGAGATGAACCGCATATTAGTACGCCACCGTAGGTCATCAGGTGCAATGGTAATCTGTATTTTCATGAATGAATAAACATTTCCCTTACTGCTTTATGTACTGAATGTAAATTAAACTTTTTCTTATTTGATTGTAGAGACCACGAAGGTCTTCTGTACGTGACCAAGAAATCTTTGCCACAAGATCGCAGATAGAGAGTGCTTCTGTTATAGTGAATGATCAAGAACTTTATGCTCCTCTTTTTAGAAATGTTTCCATGTTTAAAAGGTACGTCCACTTTAAGCATAGCTCTAGATGTTGACCTCCATTTGTAGATTTGTGCTATATTGGTTCTTTCCTATGATGACTTTGCTCCAAATTTCATTACCTAACCTTGATATTATGCATAACATCCAGTCTATTGCTCTTTTTGGTCACATCAGACACCAATGTGACATTGAATAAGATAAGACCTCAAGGAAGTCCCTTTTAGGTTAACTTAAACAGAAATTATATTCTGGGAGCAGGAAGTTTCTGCCTATGTATTTTCTGCAGAAAACCTGCTAACCAAATTTTGATACAACTTATGATTTTCTTGTTGTTGAGTTTGAACATGAACATGATGTGGCTGTTGAATTTACTTTCTCTTAGCTTTATTCTATTGAATCTGGGCTGCAACTTAGGCATGTTGTACCAACTTGACCAGTGGTATTTTGCAACAAGATTAGACTTATGCCAAGGTATAGAACTAGTAAATTGGAATAATCTGTCATATCCATCGGCGACTAATAAAACCACCCTTGTTCGTATTTGGTTATGATATAATCAGGGTGTCTTTTATTCAGGTTCTAATTAAGGACATGCTTCTGAGTCTGAGACTAGCATGACACATGGTGTAAGTTAATCTAAAATTCTGTGTGTACTTATTGTAAGATAGAAGACCAAAAAATAAATGGGAAAGCAAAATGTATCATCTCAGAACTTCTTCAGATTTACTATTGTTGTTACACTGCAGATCTAATTCTCTCAATGCTTCTATCTTTGTCTCTACATGTTCTGTAACGATCCTCACCTACGGTCGTTACCGGCGCACAAGTCATGTAGGCTAGCTCACACGACTCAGCAAGCTTTCTAAATATTTTTATCATACTTACTAATTTCTTTTCCTTTATATCATCCATCACATTAACAATGTTACGTGCCAATGTGGTGATTTTTAATACTTCATCACGATAGGATTTCATCAAAGAAAATACCAAGTATTTACACAACATGTTTTATAAAACATAACTTCAAATTTAATTGAACAATACCTAAGTGCCTCGTCCCAAACATGAAATCCCTTACCATATGTTCAACTTTCAGCTTAAGGATAGAGTTTAGAAAGCTTTATCTCCTTCAAAAATGTGGTGGTTTAAGCACTCATGGCACACTTCAACAACTTTCCACCTGTGACGTCATGGGCTGCCGCAAAGAATTTCAAATGTCATTATCACTAAGTCCACCCAAGTGTCCTTATCTTTAATCTGGACCACACGGAACACATACTCCGCAACATACGATTCTTCGAACGGGGTGGTTACTACTAATGGTTAATCCATATATTCATAGTGCTTGCCTAATTTAGGCATAAAATTTGGGACACAAAAGAATGGGTGGATCCAGGGTCAAATAAAACTGATGCTTCATAACCTCAAATAAAAAGAGTACCTGTCACCACTGCATTTGAGGCATGAGCATCTTGTGGTGTCAGAGCGAACACTCTAGCTTGTCCCCCTCCAGAAGCACCTTGTTGAGCTGACCTTGCCAATCTACCTCTTGACGAGGAAGCTACTCCTTTACCTTTATCCCTCCTGACACATCTGGCTGGTGGCACAACTGTTGGTGCTGTAGCAAAATCAGGCCGCGTTGAACCACGAGCCATCTCCTGGTTGTGTCTAAATGTAGGACAACGAACTCCCCCACATTCATAACAAAATGCCGTCGTCTGATTACATGTGCCTTCCAGCAGATTGTCCATTAAATATAACTGCCTGAGGCACTTTCGGAAACTCTTGTGATATCAAGCTCACACTTGCTTGCTCTTTGCAGGAGCTATGAACTCATGGAACGCACACTCAAAGTTTATGTCTATAAGGATGGAAAGAAACCTATCTTTCATCTACCGATACTTAAGGGATTATATGCCTCAGAAGGATGGTTTATGAAACTGATGCAAGGGAATAAGCGTTTTGTTGTAAAGGACCCTCGAAGGGCTCATCTGTTTTATATGCCATTTAGTTCTCGGATGTTAGAGTACACCCTTTATGTACGAAATTCTCATAATCGAACGAACCTACGCCAATTTTTGAAGGATTACACAGAAAATATTGCTGCAAAGTATCCTTACTTCAACAGAACTGGTGGAGCAGATCACTTCCTTGTTGCTTGCCATGATTGGGTATGCTCTCCGAGTATCATTTCATTTTATTACTTTTATCCTATTGATTCCATGGAGCATATTATTGTGCTTATAATTAGATTCAATTTTGAAGCAAGTTGTTAATTAACCAACACTGACTTACTTCAACAAATCCTTTGTTATTGAATACCACATCATTTTAGCAAGGTTGCTGTAGTTATTTTGGTATGCATATGGCATAGACGTGGTAATCTTTTCATTAAGATGACCATGGCACCACTATGTGATGTAGTGTCTCTGTTGGTTTTTGGTTTCACCTCCTTTAAATATTTTATTCTAGACAATTTATGTGTATGTATATTATTGGATCTCATTGAAATGTGATATCTGGATTCTTATAGGCTCCGTATGAAACAAGGCACCATATGGAACACTGCGTTAAAGCTCTCTGCAATGCTGATGTCACTGTAGGCTTCAAAATTGGGAGGGATGTTTCTCTTCCAGAAACCTATGTCCGGTCTGCAAGAAATCCTCTTAGAGATCTCGGAGGAAAACCACCTTCCCAGAGGCACATTCTTGCCTTCTACGCTGGAAACATGCATGGGTATCTGCGTCCAATCTTACTGAAATATTGGAAAGACAAGGACGATGATATGAAGATCTTTGGTCCAATGCCTCCTGGTGTTGCAAGCAAAATGAATTATATCCAGCACATGAAGAGCAGCAAATACTGTATCTGCCCCAAAGGTTATGAGGTCAACAGCCCAAGGGTAGTAGAAGCCATCTTTTATGAGTGTGTTCCTGTTATTATATCTGACAATTTTGTGCCACCATTTTTTGAAGTTCTGGATTGGGGTGCTTTCTCAATAATACTTGCGGAGAAAGACATTCCCAACCTGAAAGACATACTCCTCTCAATACCAAAAGAGAGGTATCTTGCTTTGCAACTTGGTGTCAGAAAGGTTCAACGGCATTTTCTCTGGCATGCTAGGCCTGAAAAGTATGATCTCTTCCACATGACGCTACATTCAATTTGGTATAACAGAGTCTACCAGATAAAACTGAGGTAGGAATTTTAATGGGCATTTAAATTGTGAAGTAATGCAACAACTTAGCGGAGAGTGGAGATGCGAATATACACACTAGACCCTGAAATAGAATATGGGCTGCATCTGCCTCTACCTCCTAATTCATTCTGTCAAGCTGTGTAGAGCTTCTGTTTGAATATGAGAGATAAGATGAGGAGGTACTTGTAATTGAAATCTGAGTGCATAGATCATTAGTAAAATGTACATCTATTGTTGTATCATTTGTTATTGTAAAAGAAGAGTAAGATGGTTCGATTTTCTTGGATATATATGGAACTAATGACATTTTTCCGAGTAGGCAGTTTTTGCAGGAGCTATCGTGGTTGTGAAGCCCTTCATTCCTTCTGATTCTGACACATGTAATCTATTTCATTAATTCAGATTATAGTCCTCGGTGTCTTCATGCCTTCCTTCTCGAGTGTGCAAGTGTTTACCCGGCTGGCTTACTCACTCAGAATCCTGTTTCGTATTCTTATGTTGTAACTTCAACAGTTAAAGGTTTGCCTGATTTCATTCAATTCACTGGACATTTTCACTGTAAATAAGCCAGGTTGCTGAACTCGAGTAATTTTGTCTGCTGAACCGCTGCATATTTGATCTTTTGTGGAAGGAGAAAAGTTAATCATCCACGTTTCACTGCTCTTTTTCAATCAATACCCTGAAATGTCTGAAAGTGATTGATTGAACTGACATTGAGATGATCAATCATGGACGTAGCCCATTTCCCAACCAAACAGGCATACAGCTCAGTTTTCTAGCACGAAACTTAACCAAAACACTTGAAAACAATCATGGTGTAACGAACAAGACTGTCTTTCAAATTTCATGGAGAACTCTATGGGGCATTTCTCCACGCTTGCCCAGAGAGTTTGTTCCCAGAACGCCACGTGTGCACCTACTCAATCAAGCCCTATCCACTGCATCTGTGGGCCCCCGCATCCCATTCTTTGCTTACTTCTTAGATACCCAACGACAAATCCCCCACGTGTACTACTCAAACTCCTCAGATTCCGGTTTTTACAGTTATTGTCGGTTAAATTTAAGCCACCTTCTAACAAACCAAATCCAAGTGTGTTTCTTTCATCTTCTTTTTATATGCAAAACAGAAATTTATCAAAATTATAGTCAAATTTGGATATTTTGTGAAGTGGGGCCAGAGCAAAACTTAGTGGAAAGACCAACCAGATGACGTTGCTGCTCCATTCAACCTCCATGACATTCTTCATTCGGTTGTTACCATTCCCAATATATACAAAGTCATGCACTTTATTTCTTTTAAGAAATAAAGAAAAAGAAAAGAAATTCTTGCACTAACTTTTGCAGTGCTCTTTGCTTGAACATCTGGCTTTCTTGGGAATGGGGGCATGTAGATTTTTATCTTGTTTCCTTTCCTTTTGTCCTTTATAAATTTGGACTTGCAAAATTTTCAATTTTAAATAAATTTTCTGTTTCTTGGGTTTTGGTTTTTGCAGAACTGAGCCTTTCTTCTTCAGTGTTGGACATCCATTTTGTAAGTCAGTTGGTTTATATGTTTGAAACTTTGAATCACTCTGATCGGTTTGCTGTGTGCGAATTTTGATGTTGTTTGTGATCTGTTTGATGTGTTTTTTCGTTATCCCATTTTTCATAGGTGACTGAGAGAATGTATGTGTTTGTAGTTGAATGTGGGATTGATTTGTCTTAAATTTCCAATGAATTACTGAATTATAATGGAAAGCATTGGACAGTTCCCTTAACTCAGATAAGGATTCTAAGTCATTTTAGAGTCTGTTTCGGTTCTTTTTCCCCCAATACTGACCCCAAAAGGGGAACGATAAGTACAAAAAGAAGCTGCTGACAAAACAAAATTTCTTGAAGGGCAACTGGATGGAAGTCATTAGTATAATGCTATTCCTGCCAGAATTTTAGTGGAAAGTTTCCTATTGAATTATTTTTCTCTCTTGGATGCATAGAGTAAGTCTTTTTCAATCTTTTCCTAGTTTCCTAAAAGATCCTTGCTGTGCTCTGAAACGTGGTTCATCTTGTTCTGTGGCAGGGGTTGATAGGGAGTTTAAGCCATTTCAAAGCTGGAAGATTTAATGGGAGATTTGCATACCAGTGAAGGAATGAACGAAACCCCCTTATCTGTAAGTGTGGATTAAGCCAATTCGGACTCAATATTGCCTTAAGGTACATCAGAATGTTTTCTTCCATTGCATCTTTAACCTTTAATTTGATTAGAAGCTTAAATTTTTTAATCAGGTCTATCATGGTGTTGCGAGTAATAAATGTCATCCTCTGGATTTTCTTGTATTTCCCTCATTAATGGATGACATTTTCACCCGTCTTTTAACATGGACTGCTTACATGAATCGCAGATTCATCAATTTCGTAGGTGAGTTCTTCACATTGGGTTGCAAATGCTGATACTCTTGTGCTTGGTATAATGAGCCAGCTTTTGTAGCTTGTGGGAGTTCCATTGTTACCTGTATTTTTTAACAACATAACAGCTACGTTTACACATTAAGATGTTTCTGCAGAAAATCTCATTCTCCAAGATGTCTACAGATGCTCAGAAGATTTAGTTGCCATTACTTGTGGACAGAATCCAAGATCTTCAAGCCAGAGCATTTGTAATGTTCAGGAAGGATGTTCATCATCTTCTACATCTTGCACAGAAAACTCACACTCTGCAATCTGTGGAAAAAGATCCTCAGAACTGAGGGAAGAACTTCTAACAAATACAGATTCTCGAAATATAATAACCTATCACAGTAAGCAAGGAGCCCCTTTCATTTTTCAATGGTAATAATTTTCTTTCCTTTAGCTTATTCATGACAGTGAACTATAACACCTCACCAATATGTGTAAACTAAAGTCCTGTCGATCCATTCTATTTTCTGATTACAGAATTCTTTAATAGGATTTCTTTTGTTCCTAAAGTGTGATCAGTATGATAGAATAAGATATGGGAGCAAACCTGAAAATACAGAAGGAGCCTACTAATTGTGCTTTGATGAATATCTGAATACAATGATTGATTCTTCCATAATTCTCTCACACTTCATGTTTGAGTATGCTACTACCTCATTAATATAACTGCAGTTTAGAAATGCTGTGGGAATGTCGGAATGTCATTTGCGAATGTATACAAAGTTACCCTGAATGTTAGCTATCGGAATTACTAATATAGCTGCAATGAGTACTGTTCACAGTTATGCATTTCTATTCGATTTTTGTTTATTCGTCTACCTTACTTGCAGTTGCTTCTATTGGTTGTAGGTTGATGTTCCCATTGTTTGGTATACGGCTTGCTTGGAGTTTGGCTCTGGCCTCGTGGAGATGTGCTCTCTACCATCTGAGAAGCACTCAAGCACAAGTCTATAGGTAAAAGAAGTTGGTTTTTAACTTAGTAAACTGGTGGATTCATGTTCCAAACAAAAAGAGTCGACGGGTGGTGTCCGTCTTTTTTTTTTCAAGGGTTTCATTACTTTTCAATTATTTCCATTTTCTTATTCTTGTCATTGCTAGGTTTTTATCTTTCATAACACAAGTAGTCAATTTGTCATCTTCAGCATTAAATCCCGGATGCAGAGAACATTGCGTGGTTCTTCTGATGATATTGGATGGTTGCAACACACTCCTGGAATGGCTTCTGTAGAGAATGGTACAGCAAGATTCCTGGAACTGCTTCAAGCCATAAGGTACCAAACCAATTTCATTTCATTTGCTCTTGGTAATCAATCAGAGGTTATTTTGTGCTAGTAGATTTGAGATTTTGCATTCAGGAATGGAGAACACAGATTGCCCAATTCATTTGTATATTTATTAGTGCCAGGTATGAGAATATTCTGTTATGATAGCTATCTAGTTTTGTTCCTCAATATCAATTTGAGATTTACTGTATCCTTCCTGTCATTATAATGTAGATTTCTAATTTTGTCAGGCCTTTTTAGCAATCATGGCCCCTTATATTTTGTGGCCACTAAGAGATTCTTTTCAAAAATGGGTCTAGCATGCCATATAGCAAAAATTCACAGCGAGGTAATTAAGTGTTGCTTGGTAAATTTATCTAGACCTTAGGCATAAGAAACTCTAATTGTCCTATTATTGCATAGTCAAGCAGTTTGGCATGGCAAATTTTATTTTTTCTTTCCAATTCATATTTGGTTATCTTCTCAGTTTTCCTTCCTACAATATCACGTTTTTATTCGAGCTCTTATTACTTCTTATACAAAGGCATCAGTGGAACACAACGCATGGGAACTGAAGCGATACATTGAGGAGCTTTACTGGGGGTCTGGCAAACGTGTGATGCTGCTCGGGCACAGCAAGGGCGGAGTTGATTCTGCAGCTGCATTATCCATTTATTCGTCTGAGCTGGAAGGCAAAGTGGCAGGACTGGCACTGGTCCAGAGCCCATATGGTGGCACCCCTTTAGCTTCTGATATTCTTCGTGAAGGCCAGATAGCTGACAAAGAAACTCGTAAGGTCATGGAGCTTTTGATATGCAAGATTATTAAGGTAGTCCTTCCCCCTGCCCACGAATAAATGGCCAAGGCAGTCCTGAACACATGGATATGATGATTCAAGAAAGAAAGATAAGCATAATCTTATATTATTCTAGAGACCTAGAGGCATCCGTTAAGATTGATAGAATGAAATTCACACTTCAGAGTCAAACCTGAGGTTTTAGTATAATGTTTTGTACCAGGTTTTTATTCACTAAAAGGCTAGCGTATATGCATGTATTCACATCTCTATTTATTTGTCATTTTTATAAAATTTAAATTTGATGTAAAGATTTTCATTGAATGTTCTCAAGGTTCAATTATTTCAAAGTGCACTGCAAATGTAGGTGTGGGCATAAATGTTTGAAATATATCTTGCAGGGTGACATTCGAGCACTGGAAGATCTTACATATGAAAAGAGAAAAGAATTCATCATGAAGCATAAGCTACCTGAGGGCGTCCCTCTTATCTCTTTCCACTCAGAAGCAAGGGTGGCTCCTGGTGTCCTTGCTACATTGACACACATAGCTCATGCAGAGCTTCCCTGGCTTCCCCTTCCTAAGTTTGGGAGTGCGGAGTTTGACAGTGTTGGTCGACTGGGACACCAGGTACCCATAGTAATTCCAGTTTCTGCTGCCATGGCTGCATGTGCACTTCACCTACTTCTCAGATATGGGGAGAAGAGCGATGGCCTAGTGACATGCCATGATGCTGAAGTTCCAGGTTCCGTTGTAGTCAGACCAGACCAGAAGCTTGACCATGCTTGGATGGTTTACTCTTCATGGAAGAAGAATCCTAATGAG